TCGATCGGGATGCAGTGCCCGCCGAGACCCGGTCCGGGGTAAAACGCCTGGAAGCCGAAGGGCTTGGTCTTTGCCGCGTTGATGACCTCCCAGACATCGATGCCCAGACGGTCGTAGATCATCTTCAGCTCGTTCACCATCGCGATGTTGACGCTGCGATAGGTGTTCTCGAGGATCTTGCAGGCCTCGGCGATCTCGCAACTTGAGACGGGGACCGTCTTGGTCATCGCCTGCTGGTAGAACAGGTCGGCGAGCTTGAGGCACGTCTCGTCCATGCCGCCCACGACCTTGGGGATCGTGCTGGTCGAGAAGTCCTTATTGCCGGGGTCTTCACGCTCGGGGCTGTACGCGACGAAGTAGTCCACGCCGAGCTTGAGGCCCGACTTGTCGAGGATCGGCACGACCACGTCGCGCGTCGTGCCGGGATAGGTTGTGCTCTCGAGGATCACGAGCTGGCCCGGCCGCAGCGCGGCGGAGATCGCCTCGGCGGTGGACTCGACATACTTGAGGTCCGGGTCGCGGCTTTCCGACAGCGGCGTCGGCACGCAGATGAGCAGCACGTCCGACTCGGAAAGCCGCTTCATGTCGGCCGTCGCCTCGAAGCGTCCCTTATCGAGCCAGCCCCGAATGATCTGCGGGCGGATGTGGGCGATGTAGGTCTCGCCGCGGTTGAGCTTCTCGATCTTCTTCGGATCGACGTCGTAGCCCATCGCCGAGTAGCCCGACTCGACGTAGGCGTTAATGAGCGGCAGTCCGACGTAGCCCAGGCCGATGATGCCGACCCGGGCTTCTTTGGACTGGATCTTCTTTTCGAGCTGATCGGCTTGGGAAACGGCGGCGGTCATGTTGGCCTGCAAGGAAGGGGAGATGCCGTTGACGGTATCGTGTCCGTTTACTGTATCGGGGTAGTCGGTGATCGAACTAGCGGGCTTCACGAGGCCTTGGGTTGACAGTCCTCAATCAAGTCGTTCACTGAAATGGGTGTCGCGTTGAAGATGCCCTCAGGCTGAATCATGACGGCTCAACGCTGGCAGGGTTCAGATGACACGTGACCAGAATACTCGCTATTAACGTCGTTCGGCTGTGCCGCCAAGCTTGAGTCGGAAGAATTCCAGCAGCCCGGCGTATTGCATTATTAGGACGACCGCTCCCATCCTGACCCAGGCGATACCGGTGTACCCGCGATCGCGCAGCCGGCGTCTACCGTATAGGATGCGTCGGAAATCCGGCGTCACACGTTTCACGGCAGTGACCCAGAACGACCGTGTCCTCGGCGTTCGGTTGGCGGAGATGGCAACCTTTCCGGCCACCGTACGGCGCTGCTTGAGGATCAGCTCTCGGAGGCTCGCCCGTGCGGGGTGGGCGACGGCGACATCGGCCCCATAGACAACGGGTATTCCTGCCTTGTCGGCTCGTCCGCACCACTCACCATCACCGCCCGAGAGTAAGTTTTGATTAAAATCGCCGACCTTGTTGAAAGCCTCCCGCCGGGCAATGAGGTTCCCCGTTACCGCGGACTTGTACTCACCGATACTCCGTTCCTGGTCGAACCCGAATGCAATATCCACCAACTCCGCCGAGTTGGGATTTCCAGAATCGCGGGGGAAAACATCGATGCGGCCACCGATTATGATGAGGGATTCGTCCGCGTCGAACCGCCTCAACGCCGCTTCAAGCCAGTCCTCAGCGGGCAGGCAATCGGAGTCGGTGAACGCCAGGATTCGCCCCCGAACCAGCCGCATCGCGTGGTTACGGGCGGCGTAGGAACCCGGCGTTGCTTCCTCCGCATAACGAGCAAACGGATACCGCTCGACAAGCGCGCGGGGCGGAGTCTTCGAGCCATTATCGACAACGACTACCTCGAAGCGATCTTGCCCAATCGACTGGCGCGCCAACGCGTCCAGGCAAAGCCGCAGCCGGTCGTCATTGAAGACCGGGATAATGACGGAGATGTCGGGCTGAGTGTCGGAGTGCATTGTGTGGAGTTGACTGCTATCGACGAGGCGAATACGCCGGCAGGGTCCCCGACGATGGAGTTGGCCCTACGAACCGGCCCGATCCAGAGTCGCGTTGATGTCGCGCCACATCGCCTCCACTTGTTCACGCAAGAGCGTACCCCGCGCCGAGAGGGTTTGACGCAGTTGCTGATTCTGCTGGGCATCCAACATTCGATCCAGCAGTGAGTTCAGGTGGTCGATCGTGTCGGCGCCGCGGTGCTGCAGTTCCCCAACGCCGAAATCGGCCGCCAGCATCTCGTACTTATGGGCCCAACCAAGGATGACCGCGGGGACACCCATCGAGAAGGCGGCGACGATGCTGTGGAAGCGGGAACCCACGATGAACTGGGCCCCCCCGATGAATGATTTCAACTCATAGGGATCGAGGCTGTCAAAGAGGCCCACCTTATCCTCTCCGATCTCTGACCGAAGGGCCTCCGCCATCTCACGATCTCCCGGGTCTCTGGTGTGGATTACGAGGACGGGGCGCAGTCCTGCGGCCGCCACCCGCTCGAGCACGTGACGGAGTCTGCTTAAGTAGGCGTCACCCCACTCCGCTCGGCCTTGTTCCACCATCCGTTCGTTGGGCACCACGCAGGCATAGGGCTCGCTTCCCTCAGCGGCATCCGGCGTGGCGGGCAAGCTGGCGATAGTAATATCGGGAGCGATCCTCACTCGTTTGTCATCGCCCAGCAGCTGTTGGACCATCTCCAGCGACCGTTGCTCACGGGCGTAAATCAGCGTTGCATGGTCGGCGGCCCGTCGGAACCAGGCCGCCCCTTTCGGGTGGTTGAAGGGCCCAAACATCTGCGGCATAAAAATGACGGGCTTACCTCGTTTGGCGTATTCGCCCGCGGTCTCGGCTGCGACGCGGGTCCGCACAGCAGGGAACTTATCGCCGTAGGCGTAGCCCGAGATGTCTAGCAGCGCGGCGCAGTCGCGACGGTCGACGAGACCCAGGATCGATGAGGCTGAACGAGGAATCGACCAACGCATCGACGACAAGGCGACCGCTCGGAAAAGGGGCGATCGTAGTGCGAGGCTGCGGGCCGCGCCACGGAGAAAGGTTTGGCATGGGAACACCGTTCCGACGCCCAGCGCCGAGCGGTCCGCGTAGAGCGAACTGGATGTCCCGTCGATAACGCACTCGGTCGGCACGGAGCGGCGGCGCATCCGATCGACCGTCGTGCGGAGCATCAACTCCGCGCCCTTGTTATTGAACCCCGCGCCACGTATCTCGACGATCATCGACCCACCATCCGATTAAAGCTGCGAAGCTCGTCGAGCGATTTCTTCTGCGAGTAGGGGACCAGCCCCGTCGGGTCTGGGTAGCCAAGCGAGAGGCACATCACGACACGCTCGTCGGGCTGGAGGCCAAGCAGACGAGCGATCCGACGTTCTCGGCCAGCGATATCGGGCCAATTGATCGAACAGCTTGCGACGCCTTGCGACTCCAACGCGAATTGGAACGCCATCGCCGCCAACGACCCGTCGATGTAGATCAGGTGCCTGTCGCGCTCCATCGGATAAGCGTGCAAAACCCCGACGAGGACGACAAAGACTGGAAACTGATGGTTAAATCCACTCGTTCCCAGAGGCGTCGTAGCGAGTTCGGCGACCATCTCGGGGTCGTCGAAGATGCGGAACTCGAATGGTTGTCGGTTGCAAGCGCTTGGCGAATAGCCGGCGACTGTAATCGCGGCGTCGATTACGTCTCTTGGCACCTTCCGTTGATCATACCATCGGACGCTTCGGCGTCGCTTGGCAAGCTCTAGCATGCCCTCGATGGTGACTAGGAGCGGCGTTGTCTCTCTCTGGTAGGGCGAGTGAGACGGAGGCCTCGTCGGCGTTGAGTTTGTCGCTGCGAAGAACGAACGCCGGGAGGCGTCGATCTCTTTATCGAGGCCCTCGGCTACCGCCGCGAAATACGAGCGCAGCACCGAATCGCTCCAGGCGAACAGCTCGTCTTCTCGGCGTCCGCATCGATCGCCGTACAACGAGACAAAAGACTCGACCGTCTCCGCCAGATAGTCGCGTGCGAACACCTCACGGCGCGGCCGCATGATAAGGCCCTTCTCCAAGCGGTGCGTGTTGCGGCGGAGCCGGTAGAGATGCCCGGTGTCCGAGAGTCCGTTCTCGCCGCTCTGGTAACGGAGACGCCCTGTTAAAACACCATGATGCTCGCGCTCAAACGATCGATTGAAACAGTAGTACACATTGGAAAGGTACTTCACACGCACGGCCGCGCGCATCGCCAACGCATCTACGCCGGAAATGACACATCGGACGATACGCTTGACGAAGGACAACATGGCAGCTGAGTTGGCTTGAGCCTCAGTGCGTCAAATCGCAGGCAGGCCGGAATTGATATCGCTATGGTCGGGACGCAACGAGACGCCGCATTTCGCTGAAAGTGTATTGCCCAGCTTCGGTAAAGGCGACAGCCGCCACCCACGCCAACCCCGACACTGCCATTCCCGTCAACAAGGCGGTGTGAGAGTTGCCTAAGTAGAGCCACTGCTTAGCCGACGCGGCCGCTACCAAGACAACCGCGCACGTAGGAATGACGTTCAGGAACAAGCCGACCAGGTCGCGCCACGACACGGGCCCAACTCGAGTGACGTACCAGACCGCCATGGGGGTGTGCACGATAAGTCCCGATACGGCGTAAGACATGGCGACGCCTACCGGTCCCCACGGAAGGCCAACAAGGAAGGATAGCACCTTGACGATCGCCCCAACCGTTCCGAGCGTCAAAATCTCACGGCCTCGACCGTGCGAGAACATGATCCAACTCACCGCGTTCGTAAAGGGTTGGACTAGACCCACCAGTAACAGCCAACGAAAAATCGGAGCGGCAGGGGTCCATTTATCACCCAGCAGTGCAATAACCTCTTCGGCGTAAACGAGCCCAAGCACCACCCCCGGAACGAGGACGAGCAGCAGCGGCTGGACGATCCGCTTGTACGCACTCCGATACCTCTCAGGTGACTCAGTCAGCCGACTCAACGCCGGAACAGCGATCGAGGCGACCGGACTCACCGCTTGCGTGAGCGGTGTCAGAAATAGCCGATAGGCTTGATTGTAGAGCCCGAGCGGCTCGGCTCCCCACCGCCAGCCAATCAACGCCTTGTCGGCGTTGCGGGCGAAATAGTTGATGAAGTCGAATCCCGTGAGGCTGGCGCCAAACGAGAGCATTGGCATCGTTCCAGCCCCGCGACGTGGCATGCTCGGCCGCCAATCGCAGGCTATCCAACTTCCGATCAACGTGACAGCAGAAGTCACTAACGGAATGAGGACCAAGGCCCAATAGTCGTCGGGCCTACCGTATCGCCAGTACGCCCACGCAATCGCGGCCACCTGCGCCAGAACAATTGCCGCGATTTGGATATAGGCGGCTTGACGAAACTGTAGGGTCCGACGCAGGAGAGCGCGATGCTGGATCGTCATACCGTTCAACACGAACGACGCCGCAAGCGACAGCGTGATTGGCGTTAGGCGTGGTTCGCTGTAGAACCAGCTAATCGCCGGTGCCAAGGCAGCGACGATTAGCCCAATCAGCGTCCCGAGGCCGGTTGCTATCCAAAACAGGTTGGTGACTTGCTGCGGCGTGATTTCGTCCCTCTGGACGGTCGCCATCGGTAGGCCAGCGTTGACGAAGAGCATGCCAAAGTTGGTTAGCACCACGACCATCGCCACGAGGCCGAAGTCCTCGACATCCAGCAGCCTACCAAGCGCCGGCTGTGACCCCAGAACAACCACGATCGACACCATCTGGGCGGCCGCGGTCCAGACACCCCCGCGGACAATCGACGCCTTGAGGTCCGACTTGATCGCGTCGTTTGAGAAGTAGTCGATGCGAACCAAGGGGATCTCAAGGCAACGGTGATGACGACGCTGACTTCGACATTAAGTAAGTTCGTCGGACGAGCGATCCATCCGAAGAGTTCCATTCTCCCCCGCTCCCGCACGTCCCGCAACGGAACCCCGGCGGCGGGGACCCCTGCCGAGGACGCCCCAGCCGGCCCAGCCCGCACATCCGGCCCAAGCGAAACCTTCTCCACGAGGCCCCAGCAGCGTCCGGCGTTGGGTTAGACTTGGGGGCCCCTCCCTCCCCCACGACCGCCATGAAGCACCGCACGCTCGTCCTGATGGGCACCCGCCCCGAGGCGATCAAGCTCGCCCCCGTCATCGCCGCTCTGGAGGCCGACGACCGGTTCGAGCCACTCGTCGTCAACACGGGGCAGCACCGCGAGCTCATCGATCAGGTGATCTCCCTGTTCGGCCTGCGGGTTGATCGTGACCTGGCGGTGATGCAGCCGAATCAATCGCTGGCGTCGCTCACCGCTCGGCTGCTCACCGCGATCGACGACGCCCTGGTGGCGCTCGACCCGAAGCTCGTGCTCGTTCAGGGCGACACCTCCACGGTGCTCACCGGGGCCCTGGCCGCGTTCTACCGCCGCGTGCCGGTCGGGCACGTCGAGGCGGGCCTGCGGACCGGCAACCTGCAGTCGCCCTTCCCCGAGGAGGGCAACCGCCTGATCACGACGCAGCTCGCCGCCCTGCACTTCGCGCCCACCAACGAGTCGCGCGACAACCTGCTCCGCGAACACATCGACCCCGCGTCGGTGATCGTCACTGGCAACACGGTGATCGACGCGCTGAAGATGGAGCAGCGTCGTCAAGAAGACCCCGCCGTCGGCGTTGAGCTCCGGAAGACGCTGTGTAGTGTCGGCGGCGCCGACCTCTTCGAGGGGCCGATGGTCCTCGTCACCGGCCACCGCCGCGAGAACTTTGGGACGGGCTTCGAACAGATCTGCGAGGCGATCGCGACGCTCGCCGCCCGGTTCACCGACACGAAGTTCGTCTACCCGGTTCACCTCAACCCGAACGTTCAAGAAGTCGTCCACGCACGGCTCGGCAATCTGACGAACGTGCGGCTGTTGCCGCCGCAGCCGTACAGCGAGTTCGTCGCGCTCTTGGCCGCGAGCCGCGTGGTGCTGACCGACTCGGGCGGCGTGCAAGAAGAGGCGCCCAGCCTTGGCAAGCCGGTCCTCGTGATGCGGGACACGACCGAACGCCCCGAAGGCGTCGCGGCCGGCACGGTGCGGCTAGTAGGCCCGTTCGCCGACAAGATCGTGGCGGGCGTGGCGGAGCTGCTCAGCGACGAAGCCGCGTACCGCGCGATGGCGGAGGCTTCGAACCCGTATGGGGACGGGCAATCCGCTCAGCGGATTGTGGAGGCGTGTGCGCGGTATTTAAGGAAGTGAGTGGGCGACGCGTTGCCCTAGCGCCCTCCGGGAGCCGACGCTTCCCGGCTCGCAGGCGGCCGCGTCGGTGGGGCGGACCGTTCGGCGCTGCCCCCCGCGATCGACTTCATGCGAGCCGGGAAGCGTTAGCTCCC